TATGTATACATGTGCCATGTTGGTGTGCTGCACCCATTAACTTGTCATTTACATTAGGTATATCTCCTAATGCTATCCCTCCCCCCTCCCCCTACCCCAGGACAGGCCCCGGGGTGTGATGTTCCCCTTCCTGTGTCCAAGTGTTCTCATTGTTCAATTCCCATCTATGAGTGAGAACATGCGATGTTTGGTTTTTTGTCCCAACAACAGGTTTTTCAATATGAAACAGTCTTATATAGGAAGAAGATGCCCTCTAGGCCTTTTATAGCTAGAGAGGACAAGTCAATGCCTGGCTTCAAAGTTTCAAAGGACAAGCTGACTCTCTTATTAGGGGCTAATGCAGCTGGTAGCTTTAAGTCGAAGCCAATGCTCATTTACCGTTCTGTAAATCCTAGTGTCCTTAAACATTACCTAAATCAACTCTGCTTGTGCTCTGTAAGTGGAAAAACAAAGCCTGAATGACAGCATATCTGTTTACAGTATGGTGTGCTGAATATTTTAAGCCCATCGCTTAGATCTACTGCTCAGGAAAAAAAAAAGAAGATTCCTTCCAAAATATTACTGCTCATTGACGATGCACTTGATTACACAAGCAATATGATGGAGAGGTACAAGATTAATGCTGTTTTCATGCCTACTAACATAACATCAATTCTTCAGTCCATAGATCAAGGAGTAATTTCTTTCTTTCTTTTAACTCTTACTATTTAAGAAATATATTTTATAAGGCTATAGCTTCCACAGATAATGATCCTTCTGATGAATCTGGCCAAAGTAAATTGCAAATCTTCTGGAAGGGATGAATCATTCCAAATGCCATTACGAACATTTGTGATGCATGAAAGGAGGTAAAAAAAAATCAATATAAACAGGAGTTTTGAGGACGTTTTCAATCCTCATTGATGACTTCAAGGGGTTAGGATTTCAGTAGAGGAAGTCACTTCAGATACGGTGGGAATAGCAATAGAACTAGAATTAGAAGTGGAGCCTGAAGATGCGACTGAATTGCTGCAATCTCATGATCAAACTTGAGTGGATGAGAAGTTGCTTCTTATGGACAAGCAAGGAAAGTTGTTTCTTGAGAAAGAATCTAATCCTGGTGAAGATGCTATGACCATTGTTGAAATGACATCAAAGGATTGAGAATATTATGTATACTTAGTTGTTAAAGCAGCAGCAGGGTGTGTGACAGGATTGACTCCAATTTTGAAAGAAGTTTTGCTGTGGGTAAAATGCTGTTAAACAGCATTGCATACTACAGAGGAATCTTTTGTGAAAGGAAACTGAGCAATGTGGCAAACTTTATTGTTGCTTATTTTAAGAAATTGCCATAGTCACCCCAGCTTCCGCAACTACCACCCTGATCAGTTAGCAGCCAAGGTTATGACTTGCTGAAGTCTCAGATTGTTGTTAGCATTTGTTGACAGTAAACTACTTTTAAATTAAGGTGTGCATACTGTTTTTCTTAGACATAATGCCATTGCTACTTAATAGGCTACAGTATAGTGTAAACATAAGTTTTATATGCACTGGAAAATAAAAAAATCTGTGTGACTTGCTTTATTATGATATTTGCTTTATTGTGTCTGAAACAGAATCCACAATATCTCTGAGGTATGCCTGTAGTTGGTGTGCACATCAGCAGCTGTCAGAGCATTAGATAGAGAATGACTTCTAATTAATACTTGTTGAATGCAAACTATGCTGTCACAAGAATGCATACAGAATGCATAACTGCTCTATTTCCTAATAATCAGTCCAACATTTGGCCTGAATTTTCTCTAGCCTTCAAGACTTTGGACACTTGAAAGTACCAAATTGAAATGGAAGGCCTGTCAACTTTGCTTGGGTTTCATTCTTTCTATAAGATGAGACAATTACCTTCTCATTTCTTGACTTATTCACATGCCTTATCGAAGTCAGGCATTGAATCATGGAACAAATATCGAACGCATGCAAATTACTTAGCAAGTGAAGGTTTTTTGAGTGTGTGTGTTTTTAAATCAAACAGAAACAATTATATTGAGATTGAAACAGCACTTGAGTTAACCAAGTACCTTGCTGAAGAAGATGAAATTATAGTATGGCATACAGTCTTGGTAAACTTGGTAACCAGGGATCTTGTTTCTGATGTGAACAACTATGATATATACCCATTATTAAAGGTAATTTCATTCTTTCTTATATAGTTTTTAAATAAATCCTCTCTTCTTCTTTTTCATATTTTAGCCAGCATCTGTGAGACAGGTCTTTTCCAAAGTAATAGTCTTAGTTCCATATATATATATCCATTTCCTTAACAATGGCTGATTGATCTTGGAAGAAAATACCTTAGTCATAGACCTGGTCTAGGAGATGAGTGAGGTTTGGAAGGGTACTTCATTCTTGGTGAAGTGGCAGTGTGTCCTAAGAAACCAGAAGTGGATGGAAATGGTATGACTGTTTTTTTAGGGAAAAGAATAGTATTTATTAGCAACTATATTCCTAAGAGATTGTTAGGTAACCAGAATGAATTGTAACAACTCTGTGTCTATAATTGCAATATTCTGACTCATAGGAACAGCACTTAAATCCAGAGAGATATGTTCCAGAAAATGTAAAAATTTGAAGATGCTTTTGATGTTAGGAAAAGAAAGGGAGAAATTAGAATTACTGAACAGAGAAATGACATGCCATCATAAATTTAAAAATATATTTTCCATTGTTAGATCTTAAACAGTAATTACAGGAAAAAATAGCAAAGGTGAAATCAAAGCAAAAGTTAGGTAGCCCTCTTTGGGGAGTTACGGGTCACACAAACCAAAAAGTATATTAGGTGATGATTTCAAGTGAATTTCTGGGCCATTCGGAGGGTGAGATCACAAATACCTCTAATGGTCCCAGACTTTCTTTTTCCTAGTGGCCAAAGTACCAACGGGAATTTAGCTGACCTTGGGATGGTGATTAATAAAAGAAGGCACTAAAATTTTGGTGAAATTGAGGAGGCTCATTGATAACATCTGATGACTTGTTCTGGGTAAAGAAGTAAAACTAATACTTGTTTTTAAAGAATTTCAATGAACAGCATCTAGTTAATTCTTAGGGATATATTAGTAAATGTCTAACTTCTATAATTTTATATTTACCAGCTGATAGCTTATG